AAGAACCGGCGGCTTATTTACAAAGCAATACAAAGAACCGACAAGGATCTTCAAATCGTTTTACAGAAAACTTCGAAGAACCTGAATTTAGGGTTCTTCAAATAATGTAATGGCCATTTTATTTCTCTAATCGGTAGTTATATAGGTAGACTAGTATGAACTTATAAAGAATGGTATGATAACAATAACGAATGATTATCATGACAGAATTTAATTTATGCCTTAAACAGGTTTTAATTTACATACTTCTAAGCAATATGACTATTCTATAAAGAATACAAAATGATTTGTTACAGTGCTAGCAAATCGTGGAAAGGATGTAAGTCTTACCGCCGCTATAACAGTTAATGGTATTTTAAGCTTTCATATTGTTGATGGTGCCTATAATGGCAATCTTTTTCGCGATTTTATAACCAACAATTTAAGACCGTATTTCTAAACGAATCCCCTTTCTGTACTAGTATTGGATAATTGTGCATTTCACCGTAGAAGAGATGTAATCAATTTGCTCAGCCAATCCAGTGTTTTAGTTTACTTTTTGTCACTTTATTCGCCACAATTGAACCCGATTGAGGAATACTTTAGTTGTCTTTTAGCAAATTATACTTCTACAAGGCCGTTTCCAAAAATTAGCAATGAAGTTAAGGCTACTTTAAATTCGCTTATATCGACAATTGGCGTTGATTTTTGTGGTTAGTATTGTAATATGAGAAGATGGGTTTTGAAAGGCATAGCAAGGCAAGAGTTTTACTAAAATGGATACTTTGCTATTTTATTATATCTTTAAGTATAATGAGTTATAGTTAAATAAAAAAAATGCTTCATTATTTAGAAATTTATGAATAACTTTATGTTCCATAAATACACTATTAAATAAACTAAAATGATTTATATTTTTTTAAAGAAAATATAAAACATTTTAGTTTATTTAAAAGTTTATTTTATTTTTTGTTTCATATATATATTTAAAATGTTTTATAATTTTTTTAAACTTGTTTATATATTCTTAAAAAATGTTTTATATTTCGCATACACCCTGTAATTCAGCTCTGTACAGTGCTGGCCAAAAATGCTCTGTACAGTGCTGGCCAAAAAGATCCGACCACTAAGGTTTTTAGACAGAAACGTAATACCACTTCAATTTAATGATAATATGATTGAATTAAACACAAGACGTCGCCGAATGGTGCGAGAGCTCACATTCACATCAGGAGGCAGTTCATTGAGAATTTGTGAAGATGATGCCAGTGGGTCCTTCGTGGCTGCACGGCGGATCATAGCGTCAGTTTTTGATGTGGTACATCTCGGTCTGCCACTGGATCTTCCTGCAGCGCTGGTGCCTGTTGACTTGATGTGCTGAATGACGTCGTGAACAGTTGTCTTAGGCATTTGTAAACGTGCGGCAATCGCACGTTCAGACTTCCCGTCTTCCATCAAAAAGTTGTATTTTAG